AGACAGTGAGGACAAGGCACAACTTTCTGTGCTGGCCCCATTGGTATGGGAGGAGTTGCTGGACAGGTTGGTACTTTTTCTACTAGATCTTGGGAAAATGGCCCCCCTTTGGTTTGGGAGCAATGGCTGGATGTTCAGTATTTTTGCTTGCGGCTCTTGGGAAAATGGCAAAATGTGCTTTTGAGGCTGAAGTCAAGAGTAAAGCCCTGAGTGCCAAGGTTTGTGGGGTGGTGAAAGTTGTTCCAGGAGACAGTGAGGACAAGGCACAACTTTCTGTGCTGGCCCCATTGGTATGGGAGGAGTTGCTGGACAGGTTGGTACTTTTTCTACTAGATCTTGGGAAAATGGCCAAAGGTCGTTCTGAGGCTGAAGTCAAGAGGAAAGCCCTGAGCAGAAGAGCAAGAAAACTTAATGTTGTCTTCCAAGAGAATGTTGTTTTTTTTTTTTTCCCTTCCTCCAGGCTGTTTGGAGGTTTGATCCTGGATATGAAGCGAAAAGCCCCCTGGTTCTGGAGTGACTTAAGGATGGTCTGAGCCTGCAGTGTCTTGTGTCCTGCGGTCGGACCCAGACGCCGACCAATATGATCAATTCTGAAGCCACTTTATTATAATACTTAAGCCATTATATACTTTTTACTACAACGTGGGCTAGCTCTGCGGCTTGTGCTCATTGGTTTCTAGACTTATACACACAAACTATTATTGGTTAAATGCAGCTGTAACTTATTATCTACACTTTGTTACTATTTCTGCTAAGTCAGTCTTTTAATTAATACACATTCTGCATCTGTTGGGGAGTAGCAGTAATTTCAGTGTCAGCACATGATTTCCTCCTTCATGTAGACCTTCAGTACGTGTCTGTTGTTTTCCAAGAAGTTTCCCACATTTCCCCCTTTTTGTTTTTCAATTAAAAATGCCAAGTTTATCGTCTTCTGCAGAGCCCTTTGCAGACAAGAGTATAAAAGCGGAATAATTAATGCTGTAACAAAAATCACGATCAATATTATTAATCCTGTCTTAACAATTGTAGCTAACCATCTACCAATTCCCCAATCAGATAACAAATTGTTCAACCAATTTGATTCATTGTCTACTTGCAACTTTTTGAACCCTTCCTTTAACATTTGAATGCTTTTATGCACTGATTCTGACTGATCTGACAGATTTATGCAACACGTACCTTCAAAATTGTCACACCTATAGCCTTGTGCTAGAAGCAAAAAATCTATGGCTGCTCTATTCTGCAATGTAGCATGTCTAATAGAATTAGTATCTAATAATAACCCACTTAATGCTGATGTCGTCGCATTTGTTTGCTTTGCTAACTAACATCCTAACTTATTAAGCGTAGCTAAAGCTCCAGCTGCTGCCACCCCAGGTACTAACCATGAGGCAAAAAGCATGTTAGTTCTACTCCAAAACTGCAAATTATCATCACATTTTGACTCAAACACATGAGTCACTCGCTTCTTGCTCCTGGACGACCGAGTCTTCAGCCAGACCCTTCCATGGCCTGATCCACCTGGCTGGAATCCAGCGAGTACCTCTTTCTGTAA